GTGTGTGTGTGTGTGTGCGCGCATGCACATGTGGAAGCTCTAGCTTAGAGGTCAACCTTGGATGTGCTTCCTCAGGTGCTCAGGAACATCCACACAAGATCTCTGTCATTGATGTGGAACTCTCCAGGTAGGCTAGTCTGGCTTGGACGGTAAGTGAACAGTCGAGTCCTGATTCCTAAATGGCTTCTCCTACCTGTAGCACAGGGCCAGCTAGCTTCGGGCCACTCAGAAGGGCTCCACCTTTCAGACACTTCACCTTACACTGCCTCCCTGGGCAACGTTTTGTGGTTTGTTTTATAAGTCAGCATCTCTCACTATTATGCAAATGCACCTTCATTGCCTGTCTTTCTGCCTCAACCTCCCCTGTTCTGGGATTGCAGGCATGTACCAGCAATGCTTGGCTTTGTAGGTCAGGGCTTAACATACTAGTTTGGAAGGAGCACAAGCATTTGATCTGCTGCAAATGTTAATGGAGTATTTAGCATTTTGAAGAATGATCTGTTTTCCAAGCTGGCTGCTTTGTTTTCTGAGCCTCTCTGTGACAGATGAGTGTGCTTGCTGATGTGCAAATGTATAGTTTTTTTTTTTTTTCTCTCACCAGAATTTACTATTGCCCCTCTTGATCACTCACACACCAGTTAGGTTGAAGTCCCGCCTTCTTGTGTCACCCGCCACCCCCCAAGACACACACTAAGCATCTTTTTCATGTCCTCCTTGGCTGTCTGCATGTCTTTGCAGGAATGTCTTTTTCCATTTGCCTTTTTACAGTGTTTGGCTGTGGTAACTGTTTCTGAGGTATCTCAGATGTAAAGCCCTGGTCAGTGCATCCTTTACTGATATTCCTTTCCTTTTGTCCTGTTACCTCTCACCCTCTGGACGATATCCTTTGTAGAAGACAGTTTTTGCTATTGAATTTCTTTTTAATGTTGTGTATGATGAAGCTTTGCCAAACAGAGGGTCATAAAGACCTATTCTTGAAATTATTTTTGTTTGTTTGTTTGGTTGGTTGGTTGATTGATTGATTGATTGATTTTTATAGTTTCTAAGTTTCAGCTCTTCTTGTCAGTTCTCTTACTCATTTTGAGGTAACCTCTGTGTATGGAATGGTGAAGAAATGTGCTAGTCACTTGTGGATGTTGAATGGTGGAGTGAGCACCTCTGCAGAGTCATTTCTGACATGGCTCTTCTCATACAGGAAAGCTCCACCCTCCAGTGATACCTTTCCAGAAGAGGGAAGTCGCTGTGCTTCCTGTGCCCCCTCACACTCTGACCAAGCTCAATCTGGCATTTCCTGAGGACAGTAGGTCCAGACTTCCAGGAGCAGCAGCCAGTCCAGTCTCTGCTGAGAGGCAGAGACTGCAATGGGTGAAACCCAAGCCTGCATTCTGAGTACAGCCTAGTCTTAATGTCTACCCTCAGTAGGAGTGTCCTCTGAAAGGCTCCACCCAGCAGAGGATTGAAGCAGATGCTAAGACTGACAGCCCAACTGTGGGCAGACTGCAGGGAGTCTTATGGAAGAGTGGGGGGATAGAAGGACTTGGAGGGGACAGGAGCTCCACCAGAAGACTAACAAAGCCAATAAATGTGGGCCCAGGGGATCCTGCAGAGACTGATACACCAACCAAGCACCATGCATGGAGAGGACCTAGACTCCCTGCTCAGATGTAGCCAATGTAGCTGATAGGCAGCTCAGTGGGTCCTCTAGTAAGTGGAGCAGGGACTGTCTCTGACATGGACTCTGTGGCTTGCTCGTTGATCACTTCCCTCCTGGCAGGGCAGCCTTGCTAGGCCACAGAGGAAGAGGATTCAGGCAGTCCTGAGGAGACTTGATAGGCTGGGTTCAAATGGTAGGGGAGGAGAACTCCCCTTTTCTGAGGATTAGGGAAGGAAAATAGGGAGTAGGAGGGAGGGATGGTGGGACCAGGAGGAGACCAGGAAGGGGGCTACTACTGGGATATAAAGTGAATAAATTATAAAAAAATAAATTTAAATTAAAAAACAAAACAGAAGAACAATGCCTAATTTAATTCTATCCTTTTCCGAGGCTTGAAGTAAAATGGTCCTTTTCTGGTAGGAATAAATACTCTCACTAAAACATCCCTGCATGCCCTTGCTTACTCAGTGAACAGCTCCATTGATAACTGATGTCGGTACAGGCAGAGACACTGCCAAACAGCAGCAGGTCCATGGGCAACACCAATTCATTAAGTGGCATCCAGAGGTGTCCTAGGGGTCATGTGTTGGGCTCACATTCTAATCTGCATGCTGGCTGCTTCCAGTCAGAATTCTGGGACCTTTCAGGACTGGCTCCATGTGCCTGAGTTACCACCCCAGGTACCCTGAATGACACACAGGCTCTGAAGGACCAGCTCACTGATGTGCTGGGTTTTTGCCTTCTGCCATCTTGTCCAGCAGGTCTTAGAACCAAGGACTTGTGTCCAGGCCAGCCTGGCCTCCTCCACCCAGTCCTTCTTGGGATCTGTGTCTTCTCTCACCTGGTCATGGACCATGACCTCTACACAGCTCTCTCTGGCCACCAGCCTCGCCTTCCTGGTGTATCTCCCATATTTATTTATTATTTCAGCCAGTATTTTTTTTCAAGGTTCTTGTTCCCCTTAGGTACTGTGGGGGGATCTTATGAAGGATGAGACCTTCCTTCATAATGAAAGAGTAAGGCTCAAACTATGTGAAATATGCACTGAGACAGGACGGGGACGACAAGCACCAATGAACTGGCCGGCAGCTGTTGTGAAGACAAGACCACAGGGCTGCTGGGTTTGAAAGGGATCTGGCTTTTTAAGAAAGCTTTAATCTTCCCAAACACTGTTCAGTCTACACAAAACATACCTTTGGATCAAACCTTGTCTGTGGACTTCTGTGAACACTTGTAACTGCCTTCCTCATGAGAAGGGCAGACACGGCCTGTCCACACTGCCCCTCAGCCTTCTGGAGAGCTTCTGGCTGAGACCTGGGCTTGATATCTCCACCCACTTTACACGGGCATTCAGGTATGGTGGTGCACACCTGTAACCTTAGCACTAAAATTCTAGTCTGATGCAGAAGAATCACAAGTTTAAGGCCAGCTTGGCATATAATATGTGAACCTGTCTCAAAAACAAAATCAGAAAGCAAAAGTCTCCAGAAGCAGCAAGCTCCTTTGAGAATTAGTACTTCATCATTACAGATTAACTAGTCAGTAATACCAACCATGAACATTCTCTTTGTTAGAGGCAATAATGATGTTTGGTAACGTAAAATCATATTCTAGAATTATATACTAAGTATTTAAGAATGAAGTATTAAGTGACAGTAATTGTTCATTATTTATTTTATTGTCCTGCTTTTGACAGCACAGGCATTCCTCAAACTTGCTGCATAGCCAAAGCTGGCCTTGAACTCTTGATCATCCTTCTGCTTCTACTTCCTAAGTGTTGAGATTATAGGAATGCATCACCACACCCGACTATAGCTATCTTAGCATGGGCTAGGGATGTAGCTCAGATGTACAGCACTTTCTTAGCATGCATGAGGCCCTGACTTTAATTCCTCAGCAATGCACAGTGAAAAGGCCAAAATGATAAAGCAGCTATGGAAGAAATGGTTAAGGTTTCATTAGATGAGAGCAGATGGGGACACCTGAGAACTTATCTTTTCACAATAAAGCAAGTGGCTGGCATGAAGTCTCCTGTGCACATGTGCACATGGCATATGGAGATAGAGGCTAAGGATCAGAACAAGAGCTGTTCACAGCAGTCCATGGGCCTAGATCAGAAGTCAGGCAGCCTGACTTGGTTCTGAGGTGACAGGCATCCCTCTGTCCACACAACAGGTGGCTTCTGCTAAAAGCCAAAAACGAAGTAGGACTTGTGTGAACTGAATGCAGGTGCCTGACAGTGAGAGAAGGCCAGAAGGGTTTTCCTCTGAAGGTTGGGGGTTGTCTTCTGAGTTGAAGGGTCTAAAATAGCTCCTTGAAGACCTGAGTCCATACTTATCTGCCATCTAGTTTAGGGCCTTGGGCTAGTTCTTCCCATTTAAACCTGTCATCAACCTTGGTTGTCTTGTAATGATACAGCTCACCGGGAACACAGGGCACAGGGAAGAGTTGAGAAGTACTCTGAATAGCTCAGGTTTAAACTGTTCAGCAGGAGCTCATTTCCTTAAAAACAAACAAACAAAAACAAAACTGGGTAGATGTCATATGCTTGTAATTCCATCACTGGGGAGGCAGAGACAGGGGGTTGGTTTGTCATGAGCCAGAGCCTGCCTAGGCAGGCATATAGGTAGGAGCGCCCAGGGAATGTAAAGGCATCAGATCATCACACAGGTGCAATAGCCCTGCCTGTAAAGACCAGACAGACACAGAGTGGAGTGTGGACTAGTCAGGGTGTGACTGTAACTCAGACACTGTGCCTGACATCAGGGTTGTGCCACACAGCTTTGCCACATTTTGAACCTTTTGTAATTAGCAACAGAATCATATTTTTAAAAACTATGAAGGCAAAGAAACAAAACAAAACTATGAAGGCAAATTATGCATGTACTCCAGAGGATGGCACTGTGATTAATAACCATGTGTACCTGTATACTAGGTGCATTTATGCTGCTTGCAGTGGTCTGAGAACTCCCTCAGAGCCTCTGCAATGACTGTGTTCACCAGTCTGACCCTGGTCTGTGATGCCACACTTAGACTCTTGTGGCACCTGAGAAACAACGCCACACCTGGATGATCCAGGCTGTGCAGTGCTGTGCAATGCATCCAGTGCTGTGCACAGGCATTGGGACTGCCTTTCCTGTGCTTTATAAAAATACTGTCCCAGGCATTTTTCCATAGCATATGTGAAGCTGGAGATAGAACATAGTGCCTTGGACATGACAAGCAAGCACTCCACCACTGAGCTGTACTCCAGCTTCTCTGCCAGGTGTCACCTGATGGGTGCATGTTGCACAAGATCCTCTCTGAAGCAAGTTACTAAGTGCACACATTCTACATGTGTTCCTAGGATGCCAAGTTTGTGGAAGAGCGACGAAAGCAACTCCAGAGTTACCTACGAAATGTCATGAACAAGGTCATCCAGATGGTGCCAGAGTTTGCTGCCAACCCCAAGAAGGAGACCCTGGTGCAGCTGGTGCCCTTCTTTGTGTGAGTACCTGTCATGCATTCTTCTGGACATCCAGCTCTGCTTCTTTGCACTTCGGAAGTTAGGAGCCTGCAGCTCTGTGCAGTTTCTGGAATGCTGAGGAACAGGAGTGGGAGCTGTCAGTGGTGCTGAAATGCAAATTCTGCTCTGGACCATGCAGACCTTGTGTCTGCATGAGTTTTTTAAAATGCATTACATGTTTTATTTGTGCTCAAGTGTGTATGTTTGTGCCGCAGCTCATGTGTGGAAGTCATGTTCATGGCTTGGCAGGATTAACATAGTAAAAATGGCCATCTTACCAAAAGCAGTCTACAGATTCAATGCAATTCCCATCAAAATACCAACACAATTCTTTACAGACCTGAAAAGAAAAATTCTCAATTTCATATGGAATAGCAAGAAACCTAGAATTGCTAAAACAATCCTCTACAATAAAAGATCTTCTGAGCATGGGAGATCTTTCTAATTCTTTCTTCAGAAACTTTGAATTTTTTTTCATACAAGTCTTTGACTTGCTTGGTTAGGGTTATACCAAGGTACTTTATGTCATTTGTGGCTGTTGTGAAGGGTGTTGTTTCCCTAATTTCTTTCTCAGCCCTTTTGTCTTTTGTATAAAGGAGCGCTACTGATTTTTTTTACTGAGTTAATTTTGTATCTGGCCACTTTGCTGAAGGTGTTTATCAGCTGTAGGAGTTCCCTGGTAGAGTTTGTAGGGTCACTCAGGTATACTATCATATCATCTGCAAATAGTGATAATTTGACTTCTTCCTTTCCAATTTGTATCCCCTTGATCTCCTTCAACTGTCTTATTGCTCTAGCAAGGACTTCCAGAACTATGTTGAAGAGATATGGAGAGAGTGGGCAGCCTTGCTTTGTCCCTGATTTCAGTGGGATAGCAAATTAAGCTGTCCTCCTATCTTTTGTTAGCAAGTTAAGACTGCAGGGTGAAAGCTGCAGATGGTTCTTGTTTCGGAGTTCAGAGAGGTGATTTGCAGCCAAGTTTGCACATGTTGGCAGGAGTCCCCAAGATGTTTTCTCTCTGTGTTTGCTCATAGAAGACCATGAGAACCAGCATCTTTAATGAAGAGCGTAGCCAGAGAGTTCCAGTTAGAGATACAGACACAGACACATACACACAAGGATACATAGACAAGTATGTACACATACACTCACACACTGTCTCACACACATACAGACAAACAGACATGCCCACACAGACATGTGTATACACATAAACAGATACACTTTGAGTCACATATATACACAGACACAGCTACACACACACACACACACATGTACAGATACACAAATATACATGCACATACTTGGTTCTCAACTAAAGAAACAAATCCCTCAGTGCATCAGTGTTAGCAAATCTCTGCAGCTTGTTCCTTTGTTCTTTCAGACACTGACATGGGATCTTTTAAAAGTCCCATCTAGTGAATGAATGTCCACAGATGCATTTTCTAAGACACAGTTAGGTGGGCCAGCCCCATGTTGCACCTACCTTATCTCATCATCTTCTAGGATCTCACTGGGTGGGTGCTGTGTTCATTTTCTTGGTGGAATTGTGTGAAGGTACCATTAAAATACCAAACCCCAGGTTTTATAGCAGTTCAAGATTATAACAATATGTTTACATATGTGAACTGATTTTTAATTTTCATTTTCTATGTGTGTTGGTATTTTGCCTGTGTGTGTCTCTGTATGATCTTAGAGCTACAGACAGTTGTGACCTTTCATGTGGGTGCTGAGATTTGAACCCAGGTCCTATAGAAGAGCAGTCAGGGCTCTTAACCGCTGAGGCATCTCTCCAGACCTGTGAATTATTTTATAACATGGAAAAGCAAAGTGCAGCCAGAGAGGAAGCATGGCTGATCTTAGGACTCCTCCCAGCACATGGGAGTCCTGGGCAATATGGTCTCTCACCTAGGTTTGAGGACGCAGCTGGGAAACTTACACCTGTGGACAGACCTGATTCCTCTGCCTTTGATGTGACCAGACAATGGGGCTTTCTTATTTCTTGTTTTTAAGTGAAGTAGTTGCCAGTGTAAAACAACTAAATGCCATCTGTTTAAAACATTGAAGTGCCAGGTTTCTATTGAACATAAGATTGATCTTACCCTGTCTCCACCATACAACACTTGGCTTTGGCCATTGGTGATTCTGTGGCCCCAGATCCTTTTGTCTCCTAGACGCTATCCCTGCCACACACATGGCTCTCTGGCTAGTTTCTCACATGCCCATGGTGTCACATGCTCACTGTGTCACACACTCATAGGACCTGCCCAGCTCTGCGGAGACTCAAGGGTATGGCCCTGGATCTTGACCATTCTTCCTGGAGCCCTTCCACATAGGTGATGGACTTGAGATCCCTGGTATTCATTCTGCTGTTGTCCATTCTGCATTTGCTTATGTCCTATGCCTGTCTGTCTATTCTGTGGACCAGATTCTGTGTTCACTTCTGTTCTAGTAGCCTGCCCCACCTGGAGAGTGGGCAGGGCAGATCAGAGCTGCTGAAAGGAAGTGGCTGGTGGGTTCCCCCTTGAATGTGCCTTTAAGTTCTCAGGGTTATGCAGTCTTGGCTCTGGCATTGCATGGAGCCTGCTGCCCTGCTCAAAGTGACAGCACTTTGAGGTTGTCAGTGGTGCTATGTGTTCAGGAGGAGAGCGTGGCTTTTGAGCAACCTGCCATCCCCTCAGATCTGAGAGTGGAGAATCAGCAGGTCAAATGTACCTTCCCCCACTTTTGGCCTCTGCTCCCTTCCTTAACAATGCCTGTTTCAGCTCTTCGTGAAAGTGAAACAATGGGAAGTGGGCATTTCTTCTGAATTTTGGACCCTGTGCCCGTGTGGCACATGGGGGTGCCAGAGGCCCCCAGATAGGGAGCAGAAAGATGGCTTTTCTCAGTGACCACTCTGAGGAGCCTCGCATTGGCTGTGTTCTCCTGTCACATTTGAGAAAGATGGTCCCCAAGGACTGTGACCTGCTGCAGAGGCTTACTCAGATCCCTGGGGGAAAGTTGGTGCCGTTAATGAAGGGGGCCTGACTTCAAGAGGTCTTTGAGGAACTGGGCAGCATATCCCATGGCTTCCGTGGTTTGCTAGGCTGTCATTTAACATACTGTTAAAATATTTCTCTGCAGAGTAACTTATCCCTTGGAACCTGGTGTGACCCTGGGAGGGACAGATGTGGAGGGAGATGAATAAAGTAGATCAAAGCACAGACCCCCATGTGGAGGTTCAGCAGAAGTGTGGACCATGTTTCTCCTCCCTACCCTTCACTGTCTCTTTTACTCCAACTGTTGTTAAATACAGCTTCTGCTAAGATGAGAAGAGCCATGTTCTTCCAGAGAGCAATTAAGTTTAGTCTGGGGTAGCAGTGGGCTGTGGTGTGCTCTGCCAGGCCCCACTTGAGCCCACACAGAGGCTCTTTTCCTCAAAAGGTGTTACTGACTCGTACAACTCAAACCTTTTATCTTGAGTTATTGTGAGATTGTCAAGAGCCTTCTAGGCTCCACAGTCCTCATCACTGCCAAGTTGGTCAGGTTGTCGCTGAAACACAAGCTATATGACCAGGGCTGGAGAGGGTTTAAAAATAAGTGTAGTTGCAATGGCCTTCGAGGTGAGAGAGATTATGTCCTACCACAGCATACCGATTTTCATTACCTGCCCTGCTAGCTCCTGTCTGCCCTGGGGCAGGAGGCAGCCTCTGTCCTCAGATCCCCGCAAAGCCAGAGGTTGAAGCCTTGCACCCAGCGAGGCTGCACTGATATTTCTCTCCTTTCCTCCTTTCTCTCTTTTTATTCCTCCCCATTTGCTCATTAGGCCTTTACAGATGCTGAGTGAGATGGCAAACAAAGGGGCATGCTTGCAAATGAACATAGGATGTGTCACAGGATAGGAGTTGTAAGAAAATACGTTTTAGAAGCATGAATCTGGTGTACTTGTAGCACACAGTATTGCAACAGTGCTGAGGATACTGGCTGGAGTCCTCTCTGCCTAGGGAATTTGCTGGCCTTTCCGGGCTGTTGCTATGTCTCTCCAGCCCAAGCTAGTATTGCCTGTTCCCTGTACAGATCACTGTAGGTTGCTCTAATAATGAGTGGGAAGTGTTGAGGATATTCTATGACTAGATTCTTGTTGAGGAATTTTCAAGTGTGACTTCGGCATTGAAATCCTGGAGAGTCCTTTCACTTAGGAATTTGGAGCATCCTTTGGGATACAAGTCCCCAGTACACTAGTGGGAATGGCTGACTGGAGAGTCACTGAGGTGATGGAGGCCACAGAAAGAGGGAGGAACAAAAAGCAGTGATGGCCAAGATTGGGCACTGGGACATGGGTAGAGTGGAAGCACCAGCCAGGCAGAGAGGAAGCTGGGGAGAAACTGTCAGGGTTGGAGGGGAGTGTTTCCAAAGTTTCTCCTTTGTACGAACAAGCTGTGAAATTAACACGGAGTCTCAGAGCATCAGGAATAGCAAGCTGTCTGCTCTAGGCTGCCAAGTTGGCAGAGGCCCCACCGAGCAGGTGGCATGGCACAACTGTGATGGCATCCCTGCCACCCCATCAATGTAAGAGTGTCCCAAGCCAGGCATCAGGGTCAATGTAGGGGAAACAAGAATCCTTCAAGTGATTGGGCCAGGCTGCTTTGGGCAGGGTCTTTCCCAGCTGGTAGATATGGGAGGCCCTTATCCTGCAGTGAGCAGTTTAAATGGAACCCTTTGGCCATGGTGCCACGTTAAGAGGGTCTGAGCATGGTGAAGGGTCGGCTTATAGGATCTTGTAAAGCTATCTGCAGTCTCTGAGATCCATGGTCAGGAGTGGGACATGTGTTAAAAAACAATGTACTCTTCACCCTGCCAGATGCCAAGAGCTTGGTTGGGGCTTTTTCCATTGAGTCATTGAGATCCACTTGTTCCCTTTGGTATTTGTGTTGCTGTCCTTCTCCAGGTGAGAGAAATGAGCATGAGAATGAAGTGACCCAGTGTGTAGCTAGGGTGTGGG